GTTGCACCACTACAGCCGTGAAAGCAGTTGGGCCAATCAGACCTTCCGTGTTAACCTTCAAGATCCCAGTGCCAGTGTAAGCTATTACACCGTCAAGTACAATATGTGTGAAACTAAAGACAGAGGTGGAAAGACGTGGGACATCGTGATCAACGGCAAGACGGTGAAGAAGGATTTCACCAACAAGTGGGCCCACCACAATACCGCCATGTACCACTTCAAGTGCATCCGCACCAACGCCGGCATGATCGAGGTGTCGATCGTTGCCACTTCGTCCAGCAAGCCGCAGGCGAGGTTCTCCACCTTGGAGTTCGAGAAGTCCACGGACGGCTGCGGCGAGTGCGAGGGCACGTCCTGCGGAAAAGGCTTCTGCAGCGCAGCCACCTTCTACGACCGTGCGGTCGATGGTGGATGGGGCGCTCGTGGAACGTCTCTGATGCCCAACCAGCTGGATCAGGAAGTGCCCGAGAGCACTCTGCAGTGCGCTTGCGACGAGGGAGTGCAGGGTGATTCCTGCGATGTCGGCTCTTGTGCCGCAGTTAACTGCAACGAGCCTTTTGGGGGATTCTGCAGCAACGGCACCTGCACCTGCATCTCCGGCCACTCGGGTGCCAACTGCGAGGTGGCACCTGTGCGGGATCAGTTCGGCTGCTACGCCCAGCACGAGGCGCGGCTCCTGCTTTTTTTTTTTGTGCGTGGTTTTCTGTGCATGATGTTTTGTAACTTCGAGCTTCAGCAGAACCTTCAACCACACCACAACATCAGAGCTGTGCTTAGAGACAAGCCTCCCTGCATGCTTGTGCTGATGCGTAGCTTGCTATCGAAACATGTTGCAGACCTGTGCAAACACACCTCAAGGGGACGTGCTCGTCGAGCAGGTCTCACTTTTCTTTGTAGATGTGGTTTGTGATCAGAAAATAGATGGACGTAAGGCCTGAAACATGGGGGTCGAGGAGGCTTTCTTGTTCCAGATGCTGGTGTGCTCGGATTTGTTGATGTAGCGGTGATCGTCGCAACATGTCGCAACTAGGCGTCTGAATTTGCTGATCTTTCTCTGTTGTGCCCTGGCCCTGCAGGTAATCTCGGACCGCATGACGGTGTCCACGGTGTGCCTCCCGGAGCTCATCGCGGGCCCAGCCCGGCATGGGAATCTGTTCCGTGGGCCTTCCCCCATGAGCACCGTGTCCGACAAGGTGCAGCCGGACGTCGCCTACTTCTCCTGGACGCCGGACGTGCAGTTCGGGAAGCCCCAGGTCGCTCCGGGGAGCGAAGGCCGGATCTACGTCAGCAAGTTGAAGGTTCCCTGGAAGGGGATTCCAGTCCTAGAGAAGAGCCTGGCTTTTGACGGCTTTGTCCGTGCGGGAGGCATCGACGTGACGGAGGACGGCATCATTGGGACGCTCTGTGCAAAGTACTGGCAGCCCTGGGTAGCGAATAAGAACAGCCACCTGGACAAAGCTGCCATGGTTTTGGCTGTATGTGAGGTGAACAGCACCACCATGGAGAAGCATCGCTTACCCTGGCAGATCGGAAAGCAGTACCAGAAGACGG